CTTCGGAGTTTGGAGTATTATATATTAGCGAAGCTTTAGGCATCTAGGCTCGTCTAATAGAATCTCTCGGGTCGGAGTTCTGCCAGCGTAATCTTCTGTTTAATTGGAAACTCTCTGTAAGTTAGGCTATACTCAGTATGCTTTAAGTGTAGCTTATGTTTATATTCATAGTTGTTGTTACGAATGTATAAATAGGATTTTATCAGTAATTCCAATTATAGTGCTAATTGATCTACTTATGAGAGAGGTGTCTAGAATGGTCACGTTGGCTTGGTTGGGATTTTAGAATGGCTATGCGCCGAAATGATCCCGCCTCCCAACTGTCAAGCCTGTTTGATCCTTATTTGATAGAACTCTTGGTATTCATTGGGATTAGTCACGGATCTAGCTTTCATTACCAGACTGTCATAGGAACTGATAAGATATCGTAATCTAGGTTAATACCTGTTAGACACATTACCCATTACGTCGGAGGAATAACTGTAAATCGTCTTAGTAGCTATCCAGGTGAGTTATATCAATATAATATGTATTACAATACATGTCCATGTATGTTAGGATATAGAACTAATAGAGTAGAGTTGATAGATTAGTCTTTATGTGCATAAGTGTAAACTAGTAGAGTAGAAAGTATAATTATGCTTCTATTAGTAGAATCTAAACTGTATCTCTATGTGTGTAATTTTTATAATTACAGACTTAGTTAGGGGATGATGGTGCAACGGTTAAAGAGGCCAGGAGCCTATTGACCTACTTGTTGACAAAATGGCATGTAGGCCGTAAGTATACATAGACTCGTGTTGATGAAATGATGTGTATGTTATAAGTACTCAAAGACCCATGTTGATGAAATGACATGTAGGTCGTAAGTACACAAAGACATGTATTGAAGACGAAATGGTCGGGCCGTAAGTCTAAAATACACATATTATTAGGAGATAGTGAGCCATTGTTTATATCCATGTATATGTATTGTGGCATATGGTATTTTGGGGAATTCAGTAACTTCGTGCTTATCCAGTTGAATATAAATATTTTTTTCAGGTACTCATGTGAAGGGGCAAGGTTCAACTGTACACACATGCATTCGAAACATGTTTCCGCACAATGTAATCGTACTCTGATATATTTTAATAGATAAAAATGAAATTTTTTTCCTTGAAATGTGGAACGTTACAAGTTTGTATTAGAGACCCGGTTTGAATGAACTAGATGAACACTCATGGGGTTCCAGACTCAAACTAAGGAACTTAGTAATTAATAAATCTTTTTATAAAAAGAATAATACAAAAAGGAGAGAATGTGATGCGTGCAGTCAGACAAAGCTCAGAAAGGAAAGTGATTCCCAAAATATCCATATTTGTTATGCTTTTTGATATATGAGATGTTAGAAATGCATGATAGTATGTAGGCTAGGGATCTTTTCAAGAATTGCCGATTAGAACAGCCTGATACATTAAGATGCCTTATAACTTAAAGATTTGCTTGTTAATGGTTGCTTAGAACCTATATTAATAGTAATTAGTTATTTGATAAATATATTTAGGTTGCATGCTCCCAAAATTAAATAGTTTTAGATTGCCTGATTTGGCGCTATTTCAGAGCTCTCATATGTGTCTAACCGTTGTAGTGACAAATCTTTCAGTCAACAAACTATTTGATTTTATAGGAATATAATCCTGTCTGTTCTATAATTAGTTAATATTGGTAGAAGTTCTCATAAAAACATCGAAAGTCTTATAAAAATAACAAGTTTATTTTTTAAGTTTATAACAAAACCAAACCATCTAGGATCTATTTATAGAGGTTAGAATGATATTTAAACAAACAAAGAGTATTTCAAAATTACAACCTTTGGAGCCTTTGAACCCACTTCGTTTGGGCGTGTTGATGAAGATGGAAAGATCAAAGAATATGATGTTCTCTACAAGTATCCACCATCATGATTAAGGCACTTGGAATGCTAGTTCCTTCTTGTATAAAATACTTATTAAGCCTTTAAGTTTTTAAATCAAATAAGAACTAAAGGAGAAGCACTTTTAAGCATCAAACTCTTGCAACAATCTTCAAAATACAAGAAGAAGAGAGGGAGAGAATACATACGACTTTCAAGCCATTTCTTAGGGAAAGAAGGTTACCAAAAATGCAAGAAAACTCTTTTAAGTTCTTTATTTTAATCTCTTTAAGATCCTTGACAATTAATGCAATTTTACTTAATCTTTTAAGTTGCCATGATCTATCTACATAGATCTTTATTCCAAGAATTAGTATGTCGATCATATATAAGACTAGGAATGTTATTATGCTCCCAATAAATTTGTAAAAGACATAAGAGTCATCTTGATTTATAATGAAATCACATTATGCAATTAACTTATTAGAAAGAAGATTCTTACTTCGAGATGTTAGCTTAAATTTGAAAAGATTTTCATTCATGTATGTTTTCTCCTTTGAAAACTCACTTACTCTTTACATTCATAATATATAGAGGAAGATTAATCAATCCCATACTTGATAATCATACACGAATGCATCTCTATGTGTTTCATTAGTTTCTGATAAACTATTGAGTAGATCTAACAACAGTTGAAAATTTGTTATATGATGCATTTACCTTATTGTTCTTTAGCTCTTAAAGTTCCATATTGCTCCCACTTAGAAAGAGAAATTTCTAAGCACTTTTCTTTTGGAATGACAATTAATGGGATTGTAGAAACTTCATCCTAAACAATAATTTAAGATAATCCACACAAATGCAAGTTAGTTGATGTTAGAGTGAGTTAAGCTTATTGTTTAACACAAACTTCATAACTCCATACCTTTTAGATAAGGATAAACCATTACATCCTTAGTCTAATGAAAGTATTTAATCTACTTGTTTAGTTGGAAATATATATATATATATATATATATATATATATATATATATATATATATATATTGGTTGCAGCAAGCATAATTCCAAAAACATTATACAAAAAATAGTCTTTTAAAACATCATATAATAGACTCCAAGGTCTATGTTTTATCCTCTTCAAAAACTTATACTATCAACATTAAACTAGTGGCCAAGTCACCCTATCCCACTAGAGAACATGAAGGATAACTCGAACATCAAAAGATTGATCCAAGTGACCAGGTGATCATGTGGCACCAGAACGATACTAATGACGAGTGAGCGTTTTTGACAGAATGAGTTGTGAATCGATTCCATAACTCTCAAGATGTTCCAAGACGACTTGGTTTACATAACTCATTTTATTTATCACTGATGGTCTCATTAACTTTTATTTCAATCTTCACTATGAAACAATCTGAGCAAATCAAAAGTTTCAACAATAACGAATAAAATTCGTCAGTGAAATTGATTAAGAATCTATCACAAAATCTATTCATGGATTGAAAAGATTATATTCATCACTTATGTATAATTATTGTCAAGACTTTCGTTCTTTAACTACAAATAGATAAAGATACTTGCAAATCATCAACCCATATAAATAGGATTCACATATATCAAATGAATCAAGATCATTTGTCTTAAAAAATTTCATCCGTTTGAAGTTGGTATATATGTTTCATATTTATATATTTATGATGATTATGACATAGATAAGTTTAAATCAAATATCATTTGAGTATTTAGGTGTTATGATCACAACTATCAATTTAATGAAAGCTTATAGATTTACTTCATAAATAACATTATGAGAAAATATTATTTACACAAAATACATCGTTATAGATCATGATTGTGAACATCCATTAAATAATAAGTAAAAATAGATTTATTCATAAGTTTACAACAGTTACACGTCCCTATAAGAATAGGTACAAAAACATCTATTGTTCAAATACATACTATAACAACACTTGTTATATCATCAACATGAAATACTATTTGTTTAATCAGTTGATTATTTCTTCCAATCATCAACACATAATATCATTTATTAGTGTCTCATGAAGTATAACATACTCAAGTGAATGGTAGAAAAATAAACAGTTCTATCATATAGATATCTTACGTCTTGGTCAAGTCAGACTTCCTCAACTTGTTAAGATTAGAGGATCAGTTCCTCTTTAAGTGTCCAGTCTCTTCCACAATAGAAACAACACTAATCATTTTGATCCTTTCTTGATTTCTAGGTTTATGCTATATTTCCCTTAACTGAACTATTGGTCTATTAGAGGACAGAATCTCTTATATCTTCCTTTTATTTAATGATTGAACAGGTTTGAAGCACGTTTTAATATTCTGATTGCATATATGCTTTATTTGATGAGACATATGATATGTTTCATAATTATTCAAGACTTTCTACAAGTCTAGGTCAATTGTTCCAGTATGATGTGAGACACATCAACATCATCACAATAATGCTTCCACCAAAGCATCATGATCAGAATGACTAGAACTACTAGAAAAACAGCCTTTCACGACGCACAAATGCGTCTCAAGGAAGGCCCTGTCATAACGAGAGACGACACGCTTTTACGCGTCATCTATTTACGACGCGCCTTTACGACACGCATTTATGATACGCATTTACGACGCGCAGTTATGACACGCAATGCTTATCAAGGAAGGCCCTGTCATAAAAGAAGACGACACGTATTTGCGTGTCGTAACCTTACGCCGCAAGTGTTTATGACACGCAATGCGTATCAAGGAAACCCCGGTCATAAAGGAAGACGACACACATTTTTGCGTGTCATAATTTTAAATGTTTTTAAAATTATATATTTTTGATAGATTTACTAATTTTCAAATTAAATAACACATCAAAAGTCTCATAATACAAAATAAAATACCACAAACAATAAAGATAATTTATTGGACTAATATGTCAAATACAAATAATCATTCCAATAGTAAGTAAATGTAACACATTGCTAATATTGCATTAATATTTATTATAGAAAACAAAACATGTACAACATTAAAAGAAACCCATGACTAAATTCTCCTTTAACAATCTCCTTTGACAATTTCCTTTCTAAAAGAATAACCTGAATGCAGGAACTTTGAGAGGCTGCAGGGCATGGAAGGAGGTTGCTAGAGCTGTTAGAACCTGCACATGGCAAATCGGTAACTTAACATGCAATACAATACAAGATGATATGGTATGATAGAGGTGGTTGGTTCATCAAGTGCAAGTATTCCACAGTTAAGGCAAAAGGTTTGCTAATGTCAATCTAATGATAAGTGAAGCAAGCACCTGAGATCAATTGAAAATGGATTTGTGAAATTCCTTCAATCCAAAATACAATGGGAATGGGCAATTAGAGATGATGGCAAACATTTTGACCTACACTGCACCTTCCTCGCATTTCAAGCTCATCATTACCAGCTTGCATAACAACCTGAACTTACAATCAACCATAAACATTAGGGTTGGGTTAAAATGTGAGATTGCTGCAGTGAGCTGTTATCCTAAATTATTTACTTTTATGCAGTGTGCAAGCTTCATATTGGTTTTTTTGTAAAAATAAGAAAACAAAAACCCAATAAAATTAAAAAATTAAAAAAAATTAAAAAAAATTACATTACCTTTAATGGATCTGGCACAAGGCTCTGAACAGGGATATCTGAAAGTTCAAGATTTAAACCACGTTCTCTAGCAAGAATTATCACCTACAATATTGATTCACCATTATAATTTATAATTTATAATTTAAAATACCAGATTTTTATTTATATATTTGTATAGAAAATAAAAAATAAAAAATAAAATAAAAAAAAAACTTTCTGCTACATCTGTCCCAACAAGATTATCCCTGGGGTCTGGCTCAGTGTAACCTGCTGCTTTTGCCTCCATCACTACTTCACTAAACGCTCTTGCATCAACAAAATTGTTGAATATATAACTCAATGTCCCATTGCAATCACATAAATAAATCTCTCACTTACGATTTTAAAATATAACGTGGGGTATTATGGTCTTTTAACATATAAATAAGGGAATTGACCTGAAAATTCCTTCAATGAGTATTCACTGTTTTGATGCTGCTAACATATAAACATCCTGTTGAATATATAACTCAATGTCCCACAACCACAAAGCATGATTTTAAAATGGTTTTGGTGATATAACAAATTTACTATATTGTAAATTGTAGGTTCTTAAGAGATAAGTAAAATGGGAATAAGTACAGAAACTGAGAATAAACATAATGTAAACAATGCTTTTAGTGTTTTAAAAAAAAGATAAAAAAAAAAAGTTACCCTTCAGGCTGTGGCTGGATAGAAGGTAAACTTGTCCTTAAACTAGCTTTGGGTCTTTGCTATGTTGTATTAGGAACTGGTTTTGATCCTACTTGCATCCTTTTTTATAAGACTTATATATAGTATCATCTTGCCTCACAGTTTCAATAGCTATAACTTGGTCTTCAACTGCTATAACTAGGTGGAGATGCACTCCCCGCATAAGAGTAGGTAGTCCCTTGCACGTGGTGTGAACTATTTTAGTACAAAGATCCCATTCAAAAGTCGCTCCAATTTTTCTAAGTGGTCTGTAGGAAAGAACAATTAACATCAGCAATATAGGCATGTGATCTGACTACATAAATTAGCAGTTGAAATCATAAATTTTAAATGATGATTTGTTCATCTTTATATAGAAAAAACTATGATAGCCATTGAAGGGTGAAAGCAAGCCACATTCACCTCATATTTAGCATTGGGAAGCACACTCACCACTAACCACTAACAGTAAACTCTATATCAGAAATCCTACAAGAATACATACTTCTTCTTCATTGATCCCTCGGAATCTAAAAAGACGGATACGCCCTCACACCTCATAAAGCATTCACATGTTGAAAGATGCAGCTGAGTTGTCTTCATATTGCCCTTTCCATGGATTCCCACTATCAGTTCCACTAGAAGCTTGATTAGGGACTGGCATGTTACCCAAATCCCCATCTAAACTCATCTGTTGTACTTCAGAATACGACAATATCTTTATGCTTTGAACACAGCTCACAAATTCTCTGTTAACAAAAAGGTAAAAGTCATGACCATATAAAGAATTACAGAAGGAGAAGATGAAGTTTAGAGACTTACTCCCATGGGTCATCACCAACAAGCAATATATCATTCTCATGATCAACATAAACAAGTTTCCAATCAGTCCTTTGTGTATCTTCTAATTGACCTTCAATACCAAACATACGCGCCGGATCATGTCTAAGCTCTTCATACCCTTTATAACGTGTCACGTCAATAGTTCTTTCTACAGACCCACGTTTCTGAACCTACGCACACCAAGTGTCTGATATAAGTCCCCAGTCACAAAATTTACATAAATCAACTTCAACAAAATATGTTTTGATGCAAAAAATATGTAGTATTACTATTTACTATTTACCTTTGTGTATGTTCGGACACGTTGAGTTTGATGCAAAAAAGATCTAGTTTGATTAATAATCAAGATACCAAATATTAAAACCTGCTAGTGATTTTAAGAACAAAAATTAGTAGCGACCAGTCATCAGTGAGCAGATGAACAGTCTGGAAGCCATGAAGGAGAGAACCAAATAGAAAAAAACAAACAAATACTGTAATCATGAAACAAGTCAATTGTGAAGTTTCTTTCTACGACATATCCAAAAACAAAACAGAAAAGATATCAATTCAGATAAGCTTACAATCCTTCTAGACTTCCAGTTATGGAAAAAGAATATAAGGTCGTCATTCTTGAAATCACATTTTCAAATAAAAAGACCTAATATTAGAGAAGATAAAGATGAAGTTGGGATAAATGGAAAACTAGTAAGAAATTATTTTGTAGAAATTATAAAAACGATTAGTTAAACATCAAAAATGGGAAATAGTGATGAAAAAAAGTTAAACCTTCACACCGGAGATGAGAGAAAGCAAACCCAAAAACCAATTACCTTTTGAACATCATTTAGGGATTCTTCTACCGACTCCGACCTATGTTTCAGCCGGTTGAGTCGTCTTCTTCTTTGTAAGATCGAAAAATGTTAGATGAGATAGAGGTGGGATTAGAAGCGAATCTAAAGGATTGAACCCACCCATCACTGCCATTTTCCTTCCCCTAAACCACCTTCGCTAGTAAGCGGAGATCCCAAGGCGAGGAATCCCCGGCGCTCCGTGAACCAACGACGTCGTGAGCGCGGTTGGGAATACGTGTAATTTAACGTTGCAGAAGAGATATAGCGGTGTAGGTGCTGAAGACGAGGAATCCCCGGGGCTCCGTGAACCAACGACGCTCCTTCAAATTTTGCAAAACTGACATTATATTTTAGGGCACGCACAAATGCGTCTCCTCTATCAGCGCGTGTCGTTGTTTGCGCGTCATTAAAGGGCTGTTATCTAGTAATGTGGTTGGCATAGGTTGTTCAGGAATGAGATCTTTCAGTATATATAATTTCTATTTATCCTTAAGGAAGAACCTCAACGTATTATACCAATTATATAAATTATAACCATAAAATGTTACTATCTCTTGAAACTCAACAAGAGAGAGGTTTTTTAGGGCATAAAAGTATTAACAGTTATTTACAAAATTTGACAGAATTTCATTTAATATTTTCAATATTAATTCTTTAAAAATTAATACCTTTTATAGTTTCTAAAACGTTAATTTTCTAAAGTCTAGTATCCAAGTAACGAAACAAATGAATGGTAGGTGATCCTTTTATCCCATCCACTTAATCAAACTCGGTAGGTAGCGATTACCAATTGCATAAGATATGTAACTCCTAGATCATGGGATCCCAAACAACTATTGCTTATCTTGGCATGTTTGATCCCATCTATGCATCCGATCTTTCATGCTTAGGTGACATTTATCACACAAGATTCCGATCAAGTCTTCCTACTTGAAACAACTTGTAGTATTGCAACTAACCAGTGACAAAGTGACACTTTAGTCACCAAAAACTACAAAACTACCCCGAACATCATAAAACAATCCTAGTGGTTATGTGACCCATCGCCCACAAAGACCATATAAATGACACCGAGTGTTCTTCAAAAGGACGACAATGACTTGCATTTTTCAAAAAAGGTTTTATATATGTTTTATAATTATAGTTATAAAAACATGGTCTCATGAATATTGCATGCATCAAACAATTCATGTATATTTTTAAAAATCATATCACTTGTAATAAGGTTCTTAAGGTACCAAATAAAACTTCATTTTATTTACCATTTGCCGCAATCAATTATAAACTACAGTCCGATATTTTAAGGTTTAATCGTAGAGCGGTTTTAAGAACTGGTAATAGTCATAATAAAAATTTCAACTTATTCTTAAGACATGGAGTTTTGGATGAGTTCTAAAATCTCAATTTTAAATCTCTCTTTTATAAGCAAAAGCTTATTACTTTATGAATTTGTAGAATAAACTCAATTTATATTTTATAAACTCAACTTTATACATCTTATGATAAAAGTCATATTTTCATAAACGAAAACTTGGGTGATGATATTTACGTTTTAAATCTCATTTGGCATGCATAAAACATAATATCAACATGTTGCGTTATGTTCAAAAAACTAATATCATATATTAAGTTTCGACGTAAAAAGTAATCACTAGTTTTATTATTTGTCGTTATAACTCTATAAACTGATTTTAGTCTTTTTAATAAAAACTCCTTATTTATTATAAATACATAGAGTTTATATAATGTTTAAACATATTTTAAACCATTTCAAATATTTTAAAGTTGGGTATTTATAAGTTTTACAATAAAACTATTTTTAACAAAAAATCGATTTTTAGCCGGTAACCGGTAAAAACATTTTTATAAATACCCATTTATAAACATCTTATGTTATATTTTAAATATCTTTTACTCAAACTCCAATTGATATTATCTTATGTTAAAATATTATTTGACATGTAAAACTCATTTTCATATATAAAACATAACATACAATAACATAAAATAAACATCACATGCATGCTTTAAAATGTGTATAAACCAAGCCATGTCTAGTAATAATTTTTGTGAGTTATCACAAGAATTATTAAATCTTTCCTAAAGGAATTAAGGGACACTTCAAAAGGTCTTCAAGCTCCCACTTGCCAAGTCAACTCTTTCTTGCAAAATAACTTTAACTCTTCATGTTGTGAAGGTTGTAACACTTAAACCATTAAGACTATAATTAATCCCAAAATCAAGAGTACAAGTTGATGGTTGGGATTATAGTCTTAAATGGTTAAGTCATCTTCAAAGATGTCATTTCTTCATCTTGTAACATTTAAAAATAAATACAACTAGTCTAACTAATTTTTTTACATAAAATAAATAAATAAATAAAAATACCTATTTCTCTATTACATCTTATGAATAAATAAATATCAACCAAACACAACACAAATTCCATATGGCTTGTTTATACACAACAATATATTAAATATAACAACAAACAACTCTTTGTTTTTTCTAAGGCAATTTTTATATAACCAAAATGCATGAAAAAATGGTTATATATAAAAATAAACAATTTTAAACAAGTTGCCAAAGAAGACAAATATGAACTTTTTTTTAACCAAAAAAAATTCATGCTTATTTTCCAAAAACCAAAGATTATCAAACAAAAAAAATCATTCTAACATATAAAAGATGGCTCTGATACCACCAAGGTTCTAAAAAGCTCGTCATGACTCAAAGGCTTGTACTCTCCGCCTTAAGTCATATATGTATATAAAAATGACTAATAGTAGAAAATACATATAAAATAATTAATTATATACAAAATTGTTTCCGTAAGTCACGCCTTACAAACGACGTGGCTCGCCAAGGCTCGTAAAAACTTGAGGCTTGACATTACCGCCGATTCATGCCTTACGTTACTTAGAACCTTGGATACCACTCATGGGTTTTGGTACAAAATATAAGTGTATTTTTCATAAAAACTGCAACGGAAGTCTTATAAAAATAACTAGTTTGTTTTTAAGTTTATAACAAAACCAAAACATTTAGGATCTGTTTGTAGAGGTTGGAATGATATTAAAAAACTCACATAGTGTTTTAGAATGACAACCTTTGGAGCATTTTAACCCACTTGGTTTTGGAGTGTTGATGAAGATGGAAAGATCAAAGAATATGATCTTCTCTACAACTATCCACCATCAAGATTAAGGCATTTGGAATTCTAGTTCCTTTTGTACAAAGTAGTTCTTAAGCCTTTAAGTGCTTAAATCAAAATAAGCACTAAAGGAGAAGCCTTTTTAAGCATCTAACTCTTGCAACAATCTTCAAAAGACAATAAGAAGAGAGGAGAGGATACCTACGACTTTCAAGCCATTTCTTAGGGAAATAAGGTCACCAAAAATGCAAGCAAACACTCCTTTATATACTTCATGCAAAAGTAAAGTTATACCATATTATAATATAAAGTATTCACTAGCTTTTAGAAGCATGGAGAACAAAGGTGGGACATGCTTATATATTTTTTCGACCATGCTTAAGAAAGAAGACAAAAATTGTCCTCTAGTTTATTAACCATGGTATGTTAACTCATTACGTTAATCATGTTTAACCAAAGTATCCAAAACTTTGTACATGACTAATTTTATTATACCATATGATATAATAACTAGTTATACTCTCTGTTAATTATTATTTTCATAAAACAAAAATTATTCCCTAATTAAGTACAAAAATTTATATTATTTCTTATAATCATATTAATAATAAATATACAAAATGTGCTAACTGATAAATGTGTGACCCTATAGGATCATATGTTATTAGCAATATCACTCAATAATGATTCTTGGGCATATAGATTCACCAGTTGTTAGTAGTTCGATTACGTTAGGATACCCCCTTATACTAATTAGTTATATGTGTGAGTTAGTACGTTTCAAGACAAAATTGTGCTTGTCATGACCTTATCATGTTTTGGTCGTGCCTTGCAAGAATACCCCTTTTGGTAGGCACAAGTAGTATCACTTTGAAGAGAATGTCGAAGGTCATTAGATATGACAACCAGGATTTCTTCAAAGTCAAAAGGAGCTACATTTTGCGTATGCAAGGCCAACTTATACTTCAGCTAGTTACGAGCAGCAACAGATGATGGGACGAACCCAAGTGGGGGAGAACCAACTCTTAAGGAGAGAGTGTGAAAAGTAGTTCGACTTTCGATTTTGATGTTAAGGTGCATGAGAGTAGCAACACGAGTA